CTCCATCCATTCATACATCCATCCATCCATCCATCCATTCCTCCATCCATTCATACATCCATGCATCCAACCATCCATCCATCCATCCATCTATCCATGGACCACTAAACAAGCCACACCAATAAGTACGTATACTAATACACAGATACCCTACTTCTAGTATAGTAGTAAAAGTGGAACCACCCACTAACAAATTTCTCAATTATTTAATAAACAGATAAATATCTGATACATACACATGCAGCGATGTATTGTTTTATATAGTTGTGATCACACAGATCACTCGAATGTGAGCTCTAGCATGTCTATAAGCCCACCTGTCATCTCTATGGTATCTGATTGTGGTATTCCCATCACATCATAGCATGCCTTTCTCTGTTGAGCAACAAGTGGTCTAGTCGGCGCCATGAACACAATTTTACCTGAAAGTATATCAGAATAACGTATAACATCTGTCATTACAATGCACGTAGCATTATCCAAGATCACAAGCGAAGAAATAATAAAGCAGCTGCCAACAACTGCAACAACAAGTGACGATCGCACTGCATCATGTCACATCGTTCATCTACACACGCTCTCCATGCGCCAATTTGCAGCAACCGCTCCAGCCGACTCATCAGCTATGTATCGCACAGCTATGCTCAAAGGCGTAGCCAGGAATTTGGATTGGGGGGGTCCTCGAGTGAGTAACAAGCAAGGTTTGGTGGCCTGAAATTTTTTTCATGAGTTAAATGTAAAAATAGTGCTTTAAAATCAATTTAGACTCTGTTTTGTTGACAATACTATTTCTTCTGCAGCTCTTTTGTTTGGATTTTTTAATTTTTTAATTAAAATTTTTTTTGGAGGGGATTTTGATTTTGATTGGGGGGTCCTAGATTTTGATAGGGGGTCCAAGACCCCGCCCCCCCTGGCTACGCGCTTGGCTATGCTGCACACTGACCACGCCAGATTACCTTGCGGATACCATCGGTAATAGTTGTACATGATGACGGCAGCAATGAAGGTCTTGCCCAACCCCGTCGGTAGCACTACGAGCGTGTTGTTGAACAGCGCGGCCTGCACGATCGTAAACTGGTAGTCTCGCATCGAGTAGTTTGTCGGATAGATCCACGTGCCGCCTGCGCTGACGTCAAACCCTGGCGTGTCGCTCGCGTCAACGCTAGAAGAGGACACGGCCGATGTAAAGCGCCGCGCGCGTGCAGGAATGACAATGCAGGGTTTCATATACATAAGAGGCACAGTGGCGCACCGCCGTTGTCAAATTTAACATCGCCGTTGTGAAAATGTTCCTGTATTTACTGATAAGTATATCCTGTATCTATATACCCATAAGAATATCAATACATCCTGTATTTGAATCCATCATGCGCATTTTTTTCCCAAACTGGCCATTACCTCCTTTGTCTAATTTTCCCTCAGAAGAAACCCTGCAATGTGAATGTGTTTGATCGATGGTCGGGGAAGGCGCGTGATTGAGAACTGATGGAAGGAGCATGAAAATGATTGTGAAACTGCAGTGGGTTGCTGACGTCGGTGCTGCACGTGGAGACGAGTGTTTGGTCGAATGTGTTTGAATAAAGCTCACCCCTGCAGCACTGAAGTTGAGGCCAATTGATTCATGGTTTGGTCCATAGCTTCCGCATAGATAAGGTCATCTTCATCATCATCTAATGCCTCTCCAAGCCCTCCTGCTGTAGAAAGCAAGTATAATGCATAACAAACTAGTAGATTAATTTTGCCCCTCCCTGCATGCCGCCTTTCTGTGGCGGAGGACCCGTATGGGTCGTCGCCAAGAGCATGCACTCTCCCCCCGACCGCCTGCGGGAAGGGGGTTAGACATGGGGCCAACGCCCCCATTCTGTAAAAAACACCATGTTACGGAAACCAAAACGAATAAGAAGATTAATTTTAAGTAATGTTATATACAACAATACATGATTATAACAACTTGGGAGCAACCCATACATGTCAACTACCATAGCAATAGACAGTTAACTTTATACATAATGGTCATATAAGAGAAAGGGCTGACATGGCCTTTATGGACAGGTAGCTGTTCTATAGAGGTGGCTGCTAACACAGGTTTGAACTATATATAGTACTTTAGATTGTCCCAAGTTGAATAGTAATGTTCTCTATGTGTTATGTCTTCAGTAGATGTATTTGTATTTCAATTACATGCAATAAAGATTTAATAATAATAATAATAATAACATACCAGTGGTGGGATTTATTTTATCTTGTCCCCACACTTCGAACAGTGTCCGCTGCTTAGGTGCATTCATTTTCTTGTCTAAGAAACTCATTATATCAATTCTGGTGCACTGCTTCTTTCTTCATGCTGCCTGGCGCTATCATCTTCTAAACCTAAGGATGTGTTATAAACACAGAATCATATATTTCTCAAGGAAATAAATGTTTTTTTAAAGTCGCGTATGTAAGTCGACAGTGACAATATATGTGATACCATGCAGCTAACTGCAATGGACCAGCTTTTATCTGTGCCAGTAGACAGCTTTGGCCCAAGCCTAGTTTAGCACCCTGGACGGAATGCGGCCGGGAATGCGTGAAGCGCCTGTGTGCGGCAACACCGCGCCCCGAACGCCAAAACGCTGCCCCTTTTTGTCCCTTTTGACAGATTAACAGGAACGGCTCTGAAACGCAACTCCGTGAAAATGGGGCGGTTTCCAAGCGACGTTTCGCGATCGACGCCTAGAGGCCATCTCCAAACGGCCCAGAACTGCTCGTGGGGGTCGCACGCCTCAAGGTTAAGACGTAGTGGCTGCTACAAGAAAGGCCAAGAAATAACCGACCACATGCTTGCTCATTGGCCGCTAGGCGATGACGTCGTCTGTTGCTGAACAAACCGTGATGTCAATCACACATGTTTTTACGAATATGGCGGAGCGAGAGATTGCAGCCCCCCTCCTCCCCCCGCGCTGCCCGTGGCGACGGTGCGAGTTTTTACACGTAGCGCCCGTGGGAGTAGGATAGAGAGAGCGAGAGATAGGAGTTTTTGCGCAGCGGATGGCATGCCACGTGGTCGCACTTTTGACACGCAGCGCCAGAGCGAGCGAGAGAGAGAGAGAGAACCATGGGGAGTGGGAGAAAAATAGAGAGAGAGGGTTAGAAGACAATGTATAGACAATCAGTCGCACAATGGCCGTAGTCGAGCCGGTGTACGTGTCACAAAAACTGCGCGATGTTACGCTGCCTGCTATACGGATTCGCGCGCCCGCCCTCCTTCGGCGCGCGAAGCCGTATAGCGGGCAGCGCAAGATTGCTACGTACAACACCCCGCGGTCGCGTGCGCCCAGCTCCCGCGGAAGTGCGCGGCTAAACCGCTCTCGGCGGTCGGGGAACAACGCATCTTTTGCGCAACGCCATCTTGTACCCGGTCTCTCTAGATTTGTTCAGCACAAATGCGAAAACACATTTGCAGGGTCCCAAACTATCCTTGATCCAACAGCTTCGATCTGCCCTTAATATGAAAACGCCATTGTATTTGTACCTACAGTATATGGAATCTGCATGCTTCTGTAATGAGTCATTGAGTGCTCCTGCACACAGTGCACTCTACGTACTAGTCCAAGTTTTCTGTGATGACTGACATTGATCACGCCGTGACGCCCACGATCTTTGGTGGATTACGATCAGAGGAAATACGGACTAGTCGCTAGAGTCTCAGAATTCGTGTTTGTATTACCCGCGAAACGGATGCAATGAAATTCGCATCGGCTTTGAAACAAAAAACAATAAACAATAAACTGATCTCAGTGAAAATTGGCAATAGGTAATGGTACACCGTTATTATTTTCTACTCATATTTACCTGTTAAGATAATAGGAACGATTACGACATCGTGTTTACTAGAATTAGAATCCGTCTCCTGTGTTTATGGGGGCTTCCATTTTGGATATGGAAATTCCCGAATAAAAAAAGAGGGCGCTGCAATCGCGGAAATTATTTAATATCTACAGGAGTCAGGATTGAATAAAACCAGTTGTTTTTATTCAATGCTGGTATCAATATATAGCAATAAATATAGGATATATATAGCTGGAATAGCCAACCAAACTTTTACCTGCAATCAGTGTTGCCCGTGATTGAGAACAATGTGCAAATATTGATGTAAAACCAGGAGTGAATAAAAAATATATTCTGTTTATGTAAAAATGCATAATGATATGCGAATATGTGCATATATATATATAGCAGGAGTGAATAACATATTTGATTCTAAACGTACTATATAAATTTAAATGTTAACGTATATACGTTCATTTGTAACGTACGTTTTGTTGATATATTAGGGGTTAATAATGACAAATATTTGTATATATATATATGATATATATATGTATCAGAAGTAGATAATAGGGATCCCTATTATCTACTTCTGATATGTATATCATATATATATATGTGTGCCCCCTGATATATATGTATATAATTATATTATAATGGTATAATGTTATATGATGATATATTAAACACCTCGTCATACACTCTCATCTCAGTTCACTGTCTGCCCGCCTGGCTATAGGAAACTATGCGATTTGTTTCCACTGGGGTGTAATCGGTAGAGATGTAGTCACCGTGGGCGGTGACGAACCAGTGGCGGACTCAGGGGGCCCAGGGCGGTCGCTCCCTAGAATTTTCAGGGTGGTATTTTAGCCTAACACCCTCCCCCTCGATCGGGCGCTTTGTGCCATTGAGCTCGCATGATTCCCCCCCCCTAGAAGTCACTTCTGGATCCGCCACTAAGAACGGGGGTATCCACGAATTTAGGTGCGTTTCCACAAACACTCCTAGTGTAGTGCAATCCATGGCGTTAACGCGACGTGGCAATTAACGGTGGTGGATATTATCATGAGCAACCGGGTATTGTTATTATTTTGAGATCATTTACTTCTGTTATGTATATGCATAATAAACGCATATACCCGATGCAATACCCATATGCACACACCCAAGACATGGGTTCACATAATAAATCGCTATCCGTTACCTTATTTTAACCACCACCAAGTCTTCCAAACTGAACTTCGACGAATAGGCATTATCTGTCTGTGCGCATGGATAGTATCTGCTAAAATGAACATGGTGTATCGTAATTATAGATTTAATTTAGAGACCACGTACCCCGTTGTGAGTGAAATGAAATACCGGAATTGATATGAAAAGGTTTATATGGCTTACAAAGTTACAATGAGTCAAAGACTTGCTAACTTTCTTAACATTGCGCGTATGGCAGATATCTGCTAAGATATATCTTCTTATTGTTTAATTATATATTTAAAATAGAGAGCACATATCCCGCACTAGCTTGCTATGAAAAATCTGGATCCCGTTGCCGCTCTTACATAATTACAAGCAGCCAATCTTCTCAAATCCTTGCAACTCTGAGTGAAATCATATTTGCTTTTCATTTCCGCGCTGGTCGGGGCTGGTTTCGCATATGAGAAATAGTGTATTACATTAATATATCAAATAGAAATATGCACATACATACCTTCGTTGAAATTATAAACTTTAACGTTAGAGCAAAATTCATTAATATTTTGTTGAAATTATATATTTAGAATAAAGCGTACCTACATATTCGGCAGTAGCTGGACGTAAAAAAAATCTGGATCCTCTTGTCTATCACATATAATTACAAGGAAGCCAATCTTACAAAAATTCCAATCCCCGGAAGTTTCCTTTGCCGTTGGTGAGTATGCTAAACAAAATATATAAATATATGGCTTTGTTGAAATTAGCGAATACCCAGCAGCAATTTGATGTGATAAACGAGATTTCTAGTTTTAATAATTAATGGACGCCAGTTCTTGCGAACTTTGCTAAAGCGTCCTATTCTATAAGTTATACAATCAGTACCCGCGTTCGCACGCTTATAGTATACCCTAACATAAACCAGGGAATATATTTTAAAATTTATAAAACAATAAATAATGTGGTTCATACACAAAATGTTTTGTGAAATTAGTATTAGTTGGCCGTTATTTATTAAAGTAGATTTCATTTTCCATTGTTTCATTTTAAAAATTACAATGAGTTAGCTTTCTATAATTTCCCTATACGCCGAATACGATAAGGTAGGCTGAGCCTGTATTCACACATGCTTAGTATTGGTCAAACGAAATATTAGTAGCCTGAGATTAACTAAGCTATACATTAAAACATGAAATTAAACATTACGAATTAAACATTATCAATTTATATAAAATACCGAAATTATAACTGGTGACCACTGAGTAAGAAAATGTCTCACGCTTTTTCGTATAGTACGTTCAACCAGGAAGCACCAACCGAGAACAGCAACAATTAAGCCACTAAAATGCGACCTAGAGACAATGACAACTCGGCGAAGACGATTATTAACTCATTGCGTATCACCAAGCACATCATTTATATAAATATCATGTTATATGTGTCTATGTTATGCGTACCGAATAAAAGATAATTAAACACAAGTTGTACTAAAATAATGTTTATTTATAGTGAAAAGACAAGAACATAATTATATGCACCCACAATATTTCACGCAAAGACTCCAGACGCATTTTAATAGGTTAATATGAATTTCGTGTTTAATAATATAAGTAATCAATGTGCAATATATAGAATATATGTAGAATATATATAGAATATACATAGAAGATAGATAAAAGACTACGTGCCTATTAATACATTAAATATATAGGTACAAAATCTCCCGACAACAAAATTAAATAATAAAATTCCTTACACGCTACATGCAAACAGTTTGTATTAGAAACAGCTGAAAACACATAGAACCATAACGTGGTGACAGTGGTATGTACAGGTTATAATTAATATGAACATATATACAACCCTTTGTATTCATATAGGCATGTAAATAGCATTATGTACACGGCTTCTGTCTTGTATGAACTACTTGACATAGATATCTGTCAGTTTGAGTTGAAGTAGAAAAACGTTCTTTGCCATTAGAAATGCACAACTATAGCTATCAGATATAATTATAACGTTGTTATATTAATTACCTCATAAAGATGCTAATTCTAGGAAGTGCTCCACATTACTGCTTCACTTGTAAGGTGCTTGTACTGTAGTTATTATTATGCCTGACTCTCATGATCATGTCACCACGAGTGACTTGTCTGTATTCAATCATTATGTCACTATGAATAGTGGATATTGCAGGCAATAACTCTGCCAGATTAGCACTGCTTCACAGCCTAAACGCGCGCCGTTTTCACGATCATAAACATATTAGTAAGTCGAACATAAACGTCCTGAGAGCAAAACTACAACGCGCGTTGGCATCGCGAAATAGACAGAATTTCGCGTAATCCGCCACCCGATGGCGCCACCGTGTGGTTTACCGAGGCAGGCATCTCATACGATGTAGATCTGCGAGGGGAAATTCTCGTGCTGGAAGGCCTTCTGTGCCTCTTGTAGAATGCGGAGACGCGGCCCCATCGGTATCGACATGCGCTCCAACCG